GAAGGCCATCGCTACTAGGAACAAGAAGCTACTAGGTGGAGGCCATCGCTATTACGTTGGAGGCCATCGCTACTAGGAACAAGAAGCTACTAGGTGGAGGCCATCGCTATTACGATTATTACGTTGGAGGCCATCGCTACTAGGAACAAGAAGCTGCTAGTAACAAAGCGTTATGATAATCACTTCCCAGACACTCAAGGCTGCAGAATGGTGACGCTCTTGCTATCCCGACGCGCAGACCCCTGTGGCCTCAACCGCCTGGGAGTCGTGTTGGCATGTTTTGCTGTCTATCGCATAATCGGGGCCAGTGGAAGAAACAGACTGCCAGACTACGAGTCCCAGTGGCTTGTGAAGGCATGACTGTAAAGACCTACTGTAGGAAGACATGCGAAGAATGGTGGGTTTTATGAGTCAGATTTATTTTGAAGCATGGGGCATTTCTCACAAATTGATACAAATTCGTGTATCTGAGTAAAAAAAACACAGTTGACAGACACAATGCTGTGAGTGCGTCATCCTCACCACCCATCCATCATCCAAAGCTTGAAGACCAATGTTACACAATGTTACATAAATGTAACTACAACAAGTAAGTGTGGAGTCTGCCTATATAATATACACTATCATATATATATATATACATATTCATACTACTGTATGCACTGGCACTTTTCACTGGCTCTACAGCAGAGACTTGCATCATTGGATGTCCAGGAGTCTCCGCTGACCCTGGCGGCCAGAGCCATTGCCTGTGCTTCTCTCAGCGCAGATCGACCGCACCGACCCTCCGGCTCCGCCGCGAAGCCGTGCTGTTTCTGGATTGACACTCATTGAAGGACATGGCCTGATGGTTTGAATTGCATTGATGCCCTAAAGCAAACCAAAGCATGTTCAAAAAGCCCATGTCGCTGGCGTTGGGGGATAGCATGCATCAGAATCCCACATTGACCTGAATCCCCTGTTGTATGTGCAAAAATATATGTACAAATATATATATATTTCCACAGCTGAACCACAAGATCAGCCGCGTCTGTGAAGCTTTGTTAAGCAAGAACTCATGTACCTTAGCTTCGTTGGTCATGGCAGGCCGCATCCATCTAGGGTGTTCGTTGTTCTGTTTTGTTTGGGTTCTCAATTTAATTGGCACTTGTTGTTGCACGGTGGCAGCGACAGCTGAATTAGATTCAATTGGTGTTGCTTTGGGACAATTCCGTTTTGGCAAGTTTAGGAGTTTCTCACCACGTGAGGATGCTGGATTTCACAATCAAGGTAGGTCACTGATTCAGTTTCACCTAAATCTGTTTTTTGGGGCTGGACCAACGTCGTGTAGTTTGACCCAAGACCAGGTCAAGCTGGTGTGCTTGTTTTTTTGAGCCAAGTGAGTGGATGATTTGGGCACGGACCCGAAAACACGTCCCAGGCGCTTTCAGCGAGGACCGGCTGCAGGTGATCACTAATTGGGTGAACAAACGATTGTGTACCGCTGTACTGTCTGGCATAGAAGGAGAAGGCGCACCGGGCATACCTTTTGAAACGATAAGTTGTTTTGCAATGTGTTGCAGACTTTCTGAGGCACTACTTTTCCTTGGTAACTTCATGGCTTTTGGTAAGAACACATGTTCTTTTGCTACTTCTCGATCATATTCATGGGACAAAAAAGCTTTGCAGGAGCAGGACGATGACAAATCGAGGCTACTGCCCATTTGCTCGTTGTTGGAGGTGGGTTTGGGCCATTCTTGTGATGTGCCCGTCAACGTCTCATCTTCTGGACAAAGCACTGATTCTG